TGACCTCAAACTTACATTGGCAAGGCTGACTTTGAACTCCTGCCTCCACCTCCCAAGTGCTAGAATTACTGGTTGTGTGCCACTCTGCCTGGAAAAATTAATAGGTTTTTGTCAAACTATTGTGAAGATTTCTTTTTTGATCAATATTTTGAAATATTTAAAAGAATTTCCTGAGCCAAGTTGAGTATACTTCAGTGATAAAATACCAACAAAAGGTCCTAGGTTCAATATCAAAAACCATAAAAATATTTTAAAAATAAGCAGGGGAATCAACCACACATGCCTGCAATACTACCAGAGGCCCCCATGTTTTGGAGCCAAGGCAACAGGACCACTTGACTCCAGAAGTCGGAGATGAGGCCAGCCTGCTGATTAAGTTTCCCAGATCCTGTCTCCAAAACAAAAATTAAAGACACAGTGGCTTGTTCCTGGGAATTTCAGCCTGTTCCCAATATAGCCTATGATGTTTTCTCTTCCTGGAGGGACTAGAGAGACAGCTCAGAGGTTAAGAGCACTGACTGCTCTTCCAGAGGTCCTGAGTTCAATTCCCAGCAACCACATGGTGGCTCACATCATCCGTTATAAGATCTATGCCCTCTTCTGGTGTGCAGATAAACATGGAAGCAGAATGTTGTATACATAATAATAAAATCTTTAAAAAGTTTTTGAGCTGTGCAGTGGCAGTATACTTCTTTGTTCCCAATACTCAGGAGGAGGAGGCCAGTGGATCTCTGAGTGGGAAGCCAGCCTGGTCTATAATGTTCCAGGGAAGCCAGGGCTACAGAGAAAAACCCTGTCTCAAAGAAGAAAAATTTTGCGGGGCATTGGAGGCACACGCCTGTAATGCCAGCACTCGGGAGGCAGAGGCAGGTGGATCTCTGTGAGTTCGAGACCAGCCTGGTCTACAAGAGCTAGTTCCAGGACAGCTACACAGAGAAACCCTGTATCACAAAGAAAAAGAAAAATTTTGAAGGCAACATTAGAATATTGCAAACTTGCTATTCCTGTTCTGAGGTTTTATGTAGCACAGGCTGGCCTCAAACTGCCTATGTGTCAGCCTGAACTCCAGATTCATCCACCTGTACCTTCCAAACGTCAGAGTAACAGGATCTCCTCTCATCTCAACAAGTATATAAAAGTGTAGTTTTAGCTTTCTCATTCTCATTCAGTCTGTACATTCTTTTACTTGTAAAATGGGTATCAAAATAGACTGGGATACCAATGACATGTTCAAATATTTAAATGCTTTGCTTCTTTTTATACACAAGCAGTTCAAACTGTTTTCTCAATCAGACTGTATGAATCGCAACTGGGAAAAAATATCTAGGATAATTTGACTTCAGATTAAATTAGGAACATAGATAAATGCTGCAGACATCAGTAGTTTATTGTTTTAGTCCAAACACATTTAAAATGGAAACTCAAAAAGAATATTTTCCACCTGAAACAAACTAGATTCTACCAGCATATAATGCTTAACACATTACAAAATAAAGATGGTAATCATTGTTTTCTATACCTACTAAAGCCAAGATGGTAAAGCCAATTTGGTTGCAATAGTGTCATAAGGATAGAATATTACCATCAAAATAAAATCAGCAAATAACAGTAATGATGAGTAAATTTTTTTAGTTTTTCACTGAAAAGGGACAAAATGTTAAAAGTCCACAGTACTGCAGGTGAATAGTCACCATGTAAACTTCTCCATGTCATGTTTTAATGTTTCATTTGTGGTATGTAAAGGCTGAAGCTGAATGGCTCTTAGCTCCAATTTTGTATTACACTTAACATCTCTCATGTCTCTTGTTGCCATAACAGTTTATATGGGTTACAGGGCAATATCTTGGATTGGAAATATATATGCTTGTGTCCATGTGTTTCTATGTGTGCACACACATACTCACGTGACAAGAAAGGGGAATAATAACCAAAGAAGAATACACTTGGGGGAAAACCACTGACAATAAAGCCACTTATTTCAAAGCAGTTTGGATAAAAGCTTCAAAACTCCAAAGTAATTCTCTAGTATGAACTTCAAGTACTGTACATTAGAAAGTGTAAAACTGTTTCAAACAAACAAAAAACCTTAGCCTTCCAAAATGGAAACTACAAAAAAATCTGCGTCCACAAAATATATGCAATAGTGCAAGACATTTCCTCAAACATGGAAGACCTCAAAGGGGAAAAAGAGACAGTAAATTTTACCCATATTGCCCAGCTGACAAAAAAAAAAGTTAACTAGCAAACAGTCCAATAGTTGAGAACCAATTTGCTATCATGTCAAGTGTGTATTTCGTTTTCCTTAAGGTGGAATGGAGAAGTCTTCCATGTTAACTAACAAGCAGCTTTAAGTGGTCACATGTATTTATACTCTGCTTCTTGCTTGAAACATCAGAGATCTGATATACACTGACCGTTCCAATCATAGAGCCAGATAACCTTTGCCATTCTTGTGGGTTACTGGAACCTGCTATAAAGACAGACAATAATCCAGCAGCTAGAAACTCTGCTCACAGAATTGCTTAAAGATTCATGTAAAAATAAAAAGATGTCGTCCCAGACTTAAATTCAGGAGCCATTTGGGTGCTGACATCAGTTCAAGAATTGTGCAAATTGAATGACAGTTCCCTGCCCCCCAAATCTTAAGAGCTGCCATTCTTCCCTCTGAAAATTGCAGTATCCTCAACTCAAGTTTACTTGCCATTTTTGGGAATCTGACTGCTTTTAAAATGTGGCTAAAATAAAATGTACATCAAGATGTTTGACTTTTCCAAGCATTAGTTCACATTGGAGCTAAAAAGTCAACTAGACTTACTCAAATATCTGACTTCCTCCCACAGAACACAGAAGATGTTAACTGAAGAAACAAGATAAATAAGCATCCATTTTACTAATCTTAAAGATACTGCAATTTTTATACATCAATGATTTTCTCCAACATTTTGCAGCTGTTTGGCTTCGCAGCACAGCAATTCATAACTACACTGCACAGGATCACCAGCAAGACTGGAATGATGTGTTGTAGAAGGCACCATCATGCTCATTACATTACCAGAGAACAAAAATACAGGAAACAGTCCTCACTGTCCACAGCTTAAAGAAAGGAAAGGGGAGGAGTGTGTTGAGCAGCCAGCCATCCCTGTACTCAAGAGGGCAAGTCGAGAACTCTTACGATACCGAGCCGCTAAATCTGGCCTAGTATTTAAGACCAGGGCATTTGAGGTTGTCATTTTGTTATTTCGTTCATAACTAAATGATTTCCTTCTGGAATATTTGCAGTCTTGTTAAGGTTTGTGTGTGCACACGCTGGTCACAGCAAGCAGATAAAATGCCCTCATCATTTCACAAACTATTCTCTACTGGAAAAGAAGATGAAAGATTTTTTTGTTTCCCCTGTTGCCTCCTGGTGCAGATGTCAATCAATGTTAATGACTTCAGAGTACCCGGATAGTGCATTTTGATGAATACATAACAAGTTTCTGTTGGTTTGTATTGGGGGGAAGCCAAGAAAAAAAGGCAAGATTCTCCAATTGCACAAATTGCACTATTTGTGTTTCCAACATTAATAGCAGAAACAGTTAACACTTAAACAAAATGTGCAGCAGAGGATATTTTTTTTTTTAAATTCAAATGACCTGAATTCAGTGGGCATGTCCTTTTAAGTTCATTTTGTTGTAGAGAGTTTAAGATATGGTCATTTCTCAGTCCTTAATTCTCCAAGTCTAGATTTATAAATTAATATGAATCCTGTTGTGAAATTGGGGGAATAATGTCCACTTCAATTTAACTGATAACCAAAAGATGCTTTTCACATCAAAGAAATGATCAAAAAGGCTGTGTCACATTCCAAAGCCAAAAAAACTTAACAAGAATGCAAACACGATGAGTTAGGTACCACTGCCAAAACTTTGCCAACAGTGGAACTTCAACGACGCTGTCCTGTGAAGCGGCCTTCCATCTGCCCGGTTCCTCTTCCAGAACCAAGTTTCTGTGTCATGCCACCTCGTGGAGGTGGTCCTCTTCCATCACGATCACGCATCATTCCACCACCCACAATTCCACGTGGACCACCAGGACCTCGATCACTGCGCCTGATATCCCTGCGGTCGTCACCACCACCCCTAGTTTCTCGCTCTCTGGCAGCTCTTGTTTTCTTCTCTTCCACATTTAAGCGCACTTCTCCCCGAAACATAATTGGCTTTAAAAGAGGAGAAAATGACAAGTCTGGGTTAAAAGGAATTGACAAATATTAGTTTGTATATAAGAAAATTTTCTAAAAAGAAAAAAAATTAATGAAGTCTTAATATACAAATTTAGGCCTTTACAGTCAAGCAAATAAAATTTAAGATGATACACAATAGACTGTAATATTCTCTTCATTCTTTGCATAAATACCATTTCATAATTATCTATTTTTAGCTTACCAAAAAAGATTTTCTATGGTTTTAAAATGTTTCAATTCTTACTATATACAACAAAAGGGAAAATCTTGAATTATCCCCCTTATATCACTTACTTTTGCAATTAAGATTCTCTGAACTGGTTCAGAGTCATCAAAAACCACAAAACCAAAATTTGGAAGTTTTCCCCCAACACCCTTGGTATTGATTCGAAGTTCCACAACGTTCCCGAAACCTGTGAAAATAGACATTACACCAAGGGTTAAATATTTTAACAGAACGAATATTCTAGTGACTTTAAATGTTCAGAATGTGCAAATATCATTTTTCTGATCGTCTGAAGATAAAAGTAGCAAAGCTGCTATGCCAGGTGATCATTAGTGTGTACTTGACTGGATGTCATCTCAGACCCTAGCAATTGTTGCAACACCTATCACCTCCTCTTCATTAACTTTCATAGGAAAAAACTGCCTGTCTAGCTTTGGAAAGGAACTTTAAAACTGGGCTTTACTATAAAAAGAAATATCTATTTCTACCTTTTAAAGCTGTATTTAAATTCAAGGACATCATCATGCTGCAAGTTATGACAAGAGGAGGAAATGTTGTACTGAAAACCGTGGAGTCCTGTTGTCCACTTGGACAGGACACCCCCAACCAGTCCAGATTCTCTTGCTCACCGGGGGGCAGGTCAGGACCACAAGGAGAAGACTGAGCCCTGGTGAGCACCTGTTTGTCTAACATAGGCTAACAGTTACATTCTACCTTTAAAGTCTAATTTAAAAGCAAAATACACACTACTTACTCATAAAAAATTCTTTCAGTTCATTTTCATCAATATCATGAGGCAAGTTGCCAACGAAAAGCTGATGACTATCCGGATAACGAATTATTCTCCGGTTATCAGAGTCATTCTGTTCCATGTCTCCTCTGCCTGAAAGACAGGAAGGATACTAAAGTCTACAACATATACAAAACAGTAGAAAGCAATGAATTGGGAGGAAAGTCAATATTAATGCCGGGCACCACACAAAACACTCAAGAGGCAGAGGCAGGTGGATCTGAGTTCTAGGACACTCTAAGGCCATACCACCCTGAACACGACCAATCTCGTCTGAGTTCCAGTACAGCCAGGGTTGCAAGATGAGACATTGTCTCAAAAACAAAATCAACACAACATTCCTGCTTAGTCTTAATAAAACCAGATGTGGGGGGCTGGAGAGATGGCTTAGAGGTTAGGAGCACTGACTGCTCTTCCAGAGGTCCTGAGTTCAATTCCTAGCAACCACATGGTGGCTCACAACCATCCGTCATGAAATCTGGTGTCCTTTTCTGGTGTGCAGATACACATGGAAGCAGAATGTTGTATACATAACAAATAAAATCTTAAAAAAAAAAAAAAAAAAGATGTGCTCCTTAAGATGTGAAATGCATTAGTAGGTGGATACAAAGTATGGATGACTAGGATTGTCAGTATTCTAGACTACTGATCTGACTGTAAATGACTAGTACTAAATGGACAGTTAGTTCTCTTTAACCCATGAATAAAGCAGTAAGGAATATTGCTACTAAATATCTCATTCTTCTGAAATGGAAAACACTTCTTTGTATGGTACATTTCCTTTTCTGGGCTTCTTGCCTAAGGAACTATAACATATAAATCTTATTTGATTCTCTCAATAACAACAGTAGGCAGACATCACACAAAAGAACTTTGCAGTACCTAAATAGCTGAAGAATGAAGAGCTAGATTTAAGGATGTCTCCCAGATCTCGATAGTAAATGCCAAAGCTCATTAATACAAGCTCCCACCTGTAACTTCTGAATTTATCACTTTCAGTTATAAATTACATTCCTAATCTGAGGTACAATAGTATATCTACCTGCATTCAAAAGAATTCTTTCTCTTCATGTGCTTGTTTTTCAACACAGGGTTTCTCTATGTAGCCCTGGCTGTCCTGGAACTCACTCTATAAACTAGAGCTGACTTCAAAATCATAGACCCACCTGCCTCTGCCTCACAAGTGCTGGTCAGAAGAGGGCATCATATTCCTAAGAACTGGAGCTACAGACAATTCTGACCTGCCATGTGCATGCTGAACCTGGGCCATCTGGAAGAGCACTAGTAAGTACTCCTTAAATGCTGAACCTTCCATCTCTCCAACCTCCAGAGGCATTCTTAAAATTATCACAGAATTCAGACTAGAGAGATGCCTCAGAGGTTGAGAACACTGGCTGCTCTTCCAGCAGTACTGAGTTCAATTCCCAGCAACCACATGGTGGCTCACAACCATCTATAATGAAATCTGGTGCCCTCTTCTGGCCTGCAGGCAGAATACTGTGTACTCAATAAATCTTAAAAAAAATTCTCACAGAATTCAAATAACCACACTAGATACCATCTTGGCTAATGATGCAACATTTACAAAAATTAGAATTTAAGAGAAATCCATGTAAAGTGTTTTCCTGAAGAGTGTAGGATAAGCTGGTTACCAACAGCCCAATTTAGAATTTTTTTTTTTTTTTTGGTTTTTTTTTTTGTTGTTGTTGTTGTTTTTCGAGACAGGGTTTCTCTTTATTGTTTTGGAGCCTGTCCTGGCACTGGCTCTGAAGACCTGGCTAGCCTCAACTCACAGAGATCCACCTGCCTCTGCCTCTCATGTGCTGGGATTAAAGGTATGCACCACCAACACCCGGCTTCGAATTTAGAAATCTTAAAGCCAGCAACAACAATGATAAAACAAACATATCCTCTTTTATACCATCAAAATACAAATCTCCACAGATGTCAGCAAACCCTGTCCTGAAAGTTGTTAGCTCAGGCTAACTCAGCAGATTGCATAGATAGGGACACACTGCTGAGATAGCCTTACACAGACCTGGGTATGAAAAACCCAACACAGATTTTAAAGTTTTTTCTTTTCCAACTTTCCAATAAACCCAAAAGGCCTTAAAAAGAGCTGAGCTTACCTGGTCTTGGTCCTCGAGGAGTGAAACCAGGTCGTTCTCTAGGTCGTTGTTCACGCACCCTTGGTGGCTGAGATTGAACTTCTGGTTTAGCTTCAACCCTTGGCTAAAAATAATGGAAAAATTATTACAATTTTTATATTATAAAGAAATAACTTCTACCGGAGAAAATCCAACCATAGCATCTATTAGCAAGTCAGTAGCAAGAATAGTGACATTAACTTTATGTCTTTACACAATTTCCTCTATGTGTGAACAATACTTTTTAAAAGATATTCTGTACCAAGCTAGGACTGTAGGGTAGATCTTAATTTTCTCACTCAAGACTGTCTAATTCACACTAACCTGCTTTGGCACAACACTCTTTAAAATTATACTCAAAATGAAACAGCATAAGTTACTGCTACAAAACTCACAAAGTGCAAGATGAGCAACTCCATATACATGAGACGAAAGTTAACAAGCTTTCTTATAAAGACAAGAGAGACACATTTTTCCTCAATAAATATCTAGTTTGCAGCCTTCAGACATCAATGGCACTCAGGCACATCTCCTAATACCATCCCATAATCTTGAAACCAGTAATTTAATAGAACACATACATAAATAACCCTTTAGCTTGGTGGCAAGTGCCTATAATCCCAGCACTCAGAAGGCTGAGGCAGTAGGATCAGGTTTGAAGTCATCTTAAAACAAGACCATTATCTCAATAATAAAAGTAACAAGAGTTTCCATATAATATCTCAAATAGTTAAAGGACTGACGAAGGACTTTCCTTAACTGCTGACTCAATATGAAGTCCCTTGTAAAGAATAAACACCATGCACACCTCTCCTTTATTTTCCCTAACACAATAAATAGCATTTCCAGGATTCTCAACCCCAGCAGAGTTTCTACTGCCCAAGGATTATGGCCCAAGAACAAGACAAAACTAAATGAATCTTCAAAGGAGGTTGGAAACATTCAACAGAATACAGACACTCCCAACTAACAGTTAAAGTTAGTACCTTAAAATTTTCATTAGATATATAACTGGGATATTAAATGGTCAAAACTGACCATTTAGATAGACTGCAGCCACTGTAACCCTAAGATATATAATAATTATAACATTAGCAGTTATTTAAAAGATTTACCTACTTTCTACAGTCTGTTTTTTCCTATGTAGACAATATTTTCCCACAAGATGAAATCTCATGTACTGAAATTTGACCAGCTACAAAATTTTGCTGGGTATGTGGCACATCTCAGCACCCAGGAAGCAGAGACAAGTTAATTTCTGCGACTTCAAGGCCAGCAATAGCTACACAGTCAGAGAATTTAGTTCTCATTTTTGTTATAAAGCCCATCTAGCTATCTTGCTTTGTGTGTATGGGAGGGGGCAATCACTGAGGACTAGGTTTTGTTAATTTTTTAAGATTTACTTTTATATGTATTGGTGTTTTCCCTGCATCTTGTATGTCTGTGTGAGGGTGCCAGATCCCCTGAAACTAGAATTACGGACAGTTGTAAGCTGCAATGTGGGTGCTGGGACTTGCTTGAAACCCTATCCTCAGGAAGAGCAGCCAGTGCTCTTAACCACTGAGCCAGCCTAGTTTGATCTTAAACTATCATTACTTCCCTCACTGCTAGGATTGTAGGCATGCACCACTGAAAGAACCAAGCATGAGCTTTAACAATGTTCAGCAATTGTTGGTTCAGAATATCCTATACCTGACAATGAGATAACTAAACTGCTGTTGGTGCTTAAGAGTTTAATAGTATATCAACAACCTAATATGTAATGTCTAGAAAAGGCATATCTTTAGAAATACATGCTTACCTCTACTTAGTACAGTTTGTATTATGAATCAGAATTGAATAGATGTGTCTTGATAGATAGTATATATTTTTTATTTACTGTATAAATATAATAAAAATTGCACAGGTTTGCTAAGAATTGTTGTCCAAGTCTTTAATCCTAACATTCTGGAGACAGAGAGGCATGTGGAAGCTTATGAATTCAATCAAGACCAAACTGGTCTACAGAGTCACATAGTGAGACCCCATCTCAAAAAAAAAAAAAAAAAACAAGAGGGGGGTTGGATAGGCAGTTAGGAGTAATTGCTGCTTCTTCAGAGAACCCAGGTTCAGTTCCCAGCACCCACAAGTTTGCAGAAAGTCCTCTATAATTCCAGTTCCAGGGTCTCTGAGGCCCTATTCTGACCACTATAGTCACTGTACATATATGGTACAGGTATATATATACAGGCAAAACCACCCATACACAGACCACTATCTAAATTATCGAAGAACTTGAGGGCCTGTTCTGACCTTAACATATTTTCAAAACAAAGCACCAAAATAAATTCAAGAAAATTTTAAAATTAAAGTTTAAAGGAATTCCCATCTTATAATTTGTACACTGATTTAGTAAATTGACATGGAACTAGGATGCCAGTGCATGGAAAGTAAACCAATTCCCAGTGCATGGAAAGTAAACCAAAAAGCTAAGAATTATTCTTTTATTAAGAAACAAATGCCGACGGGCATTGTTGGCACATGCCTTTAATCCCAGCACTCGGGAGGCAGAGGCAGGTGGATCTCTGTGAGTTCGAGACCAGCGTGGTCTACAAGAGCTAGTTCCAGGACAGTCTCCAAAGCCACAGAGAAACCCTGTCTAGAAAAAAAAAAAGAAAGAAACAAAAAAAAAAAAACAAAAAAAACAAATGCCAACTAAACTAAGCTCTTGTAGCTCTTCTTGTCTGTCTGATTAAAACTGG